ACCCTGAAGAGGGTATAGAGCTGGTCCAGTGTTCCACGGCCAGGACGAAAACCGCATTGTTCCTCCTGAATCCGAGGTTCGACTATCGGTCGAATTCTCCTCTCCAGTACCCTGGCATAGACTTTCCCGGGGAGGCTGAAGAGTGTGATCCCCCTATAGTTGGAACACACCCTCCGGTCCCCCTTCTTAAAAAGAGGGACCACCACCCTGGTCTGCCAGTCCAGAGGCACTGTCCCCAACCGCCATGCGACTTTGCAGACGCGTGTCAACCGAGACAGCCCCACAACATCCAGAGACTTAAGGTACTCAGGGCAGATCTTATCCACTCCCGGTGCCTTGCCACCGAGAAGCTTCTTGACTACCTCAGTGACTTCAGCATGGGTGATAGACGAGTCCACCTCTGAGCCCTCAGCGTCTGCTTCCTCATCGGAAGACATGGCGCTGGGATTGAGGAGATACTTGAAGTATTCCTTCCACCGGCCGACAATGCCCCAGTTGAGGTCAACAGCTGCCCACCTCCACTGTAAACAGCTTTGGCAGGGCACTGCTTCCCCCTCCTCAGGCGCCGGACGGTTTGCCAGAATCTCTTCGAGGCCGACCGATAGTCCTTCTCCATGGTCTGCCGAGTCTGTCCAGCTTCTTCCCCCGCCATCGGATCCAGCTCACCACCACGTGGTGATCAGTTGACAGCTCCGCCCCTCTCTTCACTCGAGTGTCCAAGACATACAGCCGGAGGTCAGATGAAACAACCAATAAAAACAACCAGAGGCACCACAATTCTGATAATTTCTGTGTAACATTACCCAGAACCTAATCATAATTCTTTATTTTTTACAATATTTCTATTGTCCATTATAGGAAAACTGCTGATTTTACACATGAAGTTCACTTGCTACAAGAGTGAGCCAGTGAAAACAGCTGTATAATGACAGCAGCAGTGGTCTAATGGAAAATGCTACCCAGATGAAATGTAGGTTCTTGAAGGCTGACACATATTACAGCATAAAAGTCAAAGTACCTCCTCTGCTCCTTGTTCTACTCTTTCAGGTTCTTCAGACATTATGGAAGTGCAGTACTAAATCAATTAATCACTGGAGTACCCCTTTAAACGAATAGTAAGATGACGATCAGGGTATTTTACCCTGTTTTAATGACATCATATTTACATCACTCATTTTAAACACCATATTAGGGCCATGGTGCCTGTTAAAGGCTTGCTATAGAACACAACCTTATCCAGCGCATTTCAAGTTTCTTTTGCCTGATGCTGCACTCGTCTCTCTCCTTTGCACGCATGCCGAAAGCGTGTCCTTATGGTCCTTATCATATTAATAAAGCACAGTGGCATTATATGTAGGTTTGCTTCTCCCAGCGACATGGGGACAGAGTACATGACTGGATATTGTACTGTGGGTCTCATTTTACCCAGAACATGTGGACGGCTCTTCACAAATCCGTCTGTAGCTGAAATGAGGGCTGATAGTATAAAAGCTTAAATGAAAGACGTGGATTAAAATAAATGATTTTGTAGGGTTTTGAGAGCACCATGGCGTTCTGCTGTGCATTTATTTTAAGATCGGTTTCAGGCAGTTTTCACATTGGTAAATCAAAGCCCATTCTGTTGATTATATTACAGTCTTCCAAATGCCTGCGTCTTCCACCCTGGGGACAGGGCTTTGTTTATTGTAATGGTGTGTTTGACAGTAATGGTTAGCATCCTTTACCCAGAGCCTGTAGGCTTGGCTTCCATCGCTGAAACACCGAGTGCTGTTGACAAACAGAAACAGACTGATTAGTAGAGAAGACAGATGTTTCACGTCTCGTCTCTGTCCAACCTGTCTTTATATTCTCTGCTTCCTTTATTTTTTCTCTCTCTTGATAACGTGCACTGCATTTCTGGAAAAAAAAACATTCTGCTCCTGCCTTACCTCCTCAATACTGTTTTCTTGGTGCCCATGTATAACATGTGAATCAGCTATGAATCATAAGTGATGTGGTCATAGTCTTTCACATTGTACTCTACATGGAAGCACAGTGACTAGAACATAATGACTTGTTTCTGCCTGGGATGAAATATATAGAGGGGAAGATGACGTGCGTGCTTCCAACTTAGTCCAATAGAAATTAAATTACATGTTTTCTTAGCATAAAGCAGTAAAGTGGATGTCACAGCCAGATGGTTCCACCAACTAACAGCAAACTGCTACACAACGCAGAGGCAACAGACTGTGAACAGCAGCTTATGTTAGCTCTGCTGCTGAAGTCTCCTTCTTCTCGAACATACACACATGAACGTGTATCTTGTTGTAGCTTGTTGAATGAGCGACCAAACATTCACTGGGGAAAATGTCCTTCTAACATCTGTGTGCAGGCTAGATGGCTAATTAGCTGGATAAGTGCAGCACATTGGAGAACATCCTTAGTCCTCAGAACCACTGCCACAAACGCGCTCTGCCCTTTGCTTATAAGCTACAGAGGAACTTTGTTTACTTTGATTCTCATTCTCCAGTTGGTACCCGTGTTGTCGGAGTCTGTTTCCCTGTCAATATGTGTTTCCTCAAAAACATTTTTCCTTAATGAGCACCTAACGACAATAAATAAACCTTTGACATTTACTTCATTAGTAGCAGTAGAGAATTTCAGCCCTGTGTTTTTCCCTACTCTTTTTGTTTACTGAGTTCTTTGACCCCATCAGTGGCTGTGAATTAAGCCATCGTGTTTATAACGGACCACATTTGACATTATCGGGACAGTGAGTTTAACATGGACAAATGGGGCTCATAAGTTTGTACAGTGCTGCAGGATAACGGCTTTATGGCTCGCACACAAGGGAAATCTGTTGTCTTAAATCTAAGGTGAGCTGGTGAATTAAGCACAGAAAGTGCAAGACAAGTGCGTCATTTTACAAGAAAACGTTAAAACAGGTAATGAGACATTTGTAGTTATGAGACTGAAGTCTAAAAAGCAGACGCATGAAAATAAATTCAGTCCACTCAGTGAAACTGGGGCAGAGTTTAGATATAATATGACTTGACACCTCTAATAACCTCATTAGCATCTGAGGTGGTGTTGGTATAAAATGGAACTACTACTGCGCAGTCTCTTGGACCTCCCCCAGAATACTCAGAAGTAAATTTTGAAAGACAGAAGGAGAAATTTGAAACCATTTGTTTGTTTGAGTCAGAAAATCTAAAGCCAAATATGACAATTAGTATAACACTGTTCAAACAGGTGTAGTAAAGATCCTCGCTCTTTAGGTGGAGAACTGTCAGCTATCACTCACTTTGTCACACCCCTAAACAAAAAGCTAAATAAATATGTGGTCCAAAATTGTCTTTCAAAGTTTTTATCAAGACAAAATTAACAGAGAAAAATAATTAAGCGTTGCCATCTGTTGACAGATCTAATTTCATTACATATCTAACAGGCTGGAAACTCCATTCTTCCTCATCAGCAGCCAAAGCGGTCATGTATCGCTCTGCATATCAATCACCCCTCAGCAGGTCAATTTTCATCTCAGCTCCATTCACTAGCACATTGTATTTCTTGGGAGTTGCATTAATGTGAATATGCTGTCACTTGCATTCATTATAGATTACATTATATGTAAGAATCGGCATCACTGATGCATGCCAAATGTTTGAATTTATTCATATGTGATTATTCACAATGCAGGACTGAAGGTTGTCTGAAAAGAAAAATGAGAAATTGATGGAAATAATGGCTTGTTCTCTACAACAACAGGGCAGAAATGGTTGAACCAAAATCACACCGTCGTGCTCTCCACTGTAACCTTACTCTTTTTTTCCATCTGCATTCAGATTCTAGTCCATGTGGGCTTTCTGACAGAAGAGTCTGGCGATGTCTTCAGCCCCAAAGTGCTGAAGGGGGGTCCTCTGGGGGAGATGGTGCAATGGGCCGACATCCTCACAGCCCTCCATGTGCTGGGACACGACCTCAAAATCTCGGTTTCTCTCAAGGAGCTGCACGGGTATGACCATGTTATTTTCTCATATTAACTTCAAGCTGTTGGCAGAACTGCTGGAGTCAGTGTACTTTGTGTGTGGTGTTGTTCCACCCATTCAAATTTGAAGAGAGACTCTTTAGGGCATCTGTGCAGGAAACATCTGTTGGTTTATGAAAATACAGACAGCCATTCTTTTTTATTATTATTTCTCGTTCTGTTGTTCATTCCGAATGCTCTGCAAGTGATCAGCAGCCAATCAGAGCGCTGGTGCCCACACACTGCGCTCGATCACCTCGGCCCACACACAGATAAGCTATCGTTCCTACCTGCAGAGCGTCGCTTAAGCCTAAGGGTTTGACAGCATTTCTACAGCTTGTGCTCCTTTTTCCCGTCACAGCTCACTGACTCCTGAGTGATAACTGGCTTGTCGCTTGTCATCACAAACATAAGTGCTCATGCCAGTGGTTAACACACTCCTTCCAGTCAGACAGATGAGATGGTTTCATCTAAAAATAAAATGTAAGATTGTCACACTGATGCGAGGTGCAGTAGGAGGAGTTCGGAGAGCAGACAGCTCTATCCTGCCGTGGACGCTTCCTTGCTGCTGTGATCTTTCAGAGCTGCTCCAGCTTCACGCTGACTGGTCAGGAAAATGACCATGTACAAGACTAGATTTGCTGTTGATTCTTTTCTGCCAGTGGGTGGTGTGAAACCGGAGCAGGCAGGCTGATGATAATGTGAACTTGTTATTGAGAACTGTTTGCATTGCTGTAGGAAAGAGGTGGGGACCTTGATGAGTTAGAACTGCCCTTTGAGCTTAAATTTCAGGCTGTGAAGAAATGCTGCTTTGATAAGAACAGACCAGGGAGATCAGTGAGGTGCTGGAAGGTGCCGCAGTGGGAATGCTTCTGCTGGCTGTGCTATTATTTACCCCACTAATTGCTGTCATGGTGTATTGAATCGCTGCAGTCTGCCTCCATTGGGAGTACCATCAGAAATGTTTAGAAAATTGCAGAAGTTCTGACAGAGGCTCACAAAGAAGCGTCAGCCAAGGTTAAGGCTAATACTTTCTAGCAGCGGAATGAAGTCTATATGCATGTGTGTGTTTGCATTTGAGTGTTTTTACCCTACAGCAGCAGAGAGAGCAACAGTTGAGAATTTACTGGTATATGTACATTTATATAAGTGTGCAGTGATTTTCCATTAAGCCAGCATCATCCATTAGGGCTGATATTGGTTTCTGTTCATCAGGAAATGAAATGTTCAGCCTGAGAGAAAATATAATGGAGGGCTGAAGCTGAAGCCAAGTGGAATTTTCTGACCATATCCCCTCTTTGCTTGCAGCGCCAAAAACCTAGTGTAGATATTCCGCTCTTTTTATAGCCAGTTAATGGCAGACGCAGAGTATCTATAAATCTCTTTTTTGTGACTATTAATGAATAGAAAATGGGAACATTTCTCTCCATCCCTTACTCTTACTCTCCCACACGCTGTTAAATTGACAGATCATTATGTGGGTTGTGCTCTTACAGATTTCCTCAGGGTTGTATCTGTTTACATTTCCTGCTCTTCACTTGCCCGCCAAGGCTTTGGTATGGAGTTTAAAATCACTGGATGTCCTGCTGTGGTTCTTACATGGACAGGGTTGTTATGTTTAACATTTAGACAGATTTACCACACCAGGAGCTTAGTTACAGGGGGAGTCAAGCTGTTGGTTTGTGTCATATAATTGCCTCTAACTGGCAACGCTCATGCTCTCTGGTGGCTTCTTTGATAGTCACTTTGGCTGGTGTGTTCCCTTTGCTCCCCTGATAAGAAAAATCAATTATGCTCACACATTTGCATCTTTTGCTGGAGTCTTGTCTTCATGGTAAGATTCCGCTTGACTTTCCCTTCAGAGATATATTTTTCTACAGACTGATGATGTTCCCAACCAGTGCACCTTCTTGAGAGTAGTTGCGATTATTTAATTAATGTTGTAATTGTTATATAATAATTCTTTAAAAAACAGATTATACAATAACACTGATAATAAATGGGTTTTCATGAAGATGCAGCACAAATTTTAACTGAATTTCAAGAAAAAAACAGCAAAAAATGAAAAATTCTGCATGTTTCTATCTAGTTCTCTCACTTCTTATGCTAATATTGGAAGTTGGCTTGTTTAGATAGTTGGTGGCACTAATTCCCCCCTCATGTTCCATTAAACCGTCACAGCACAACAGGGCACAACAAGATGACATAATTTACTGAATGCCAGTCAGACCTCTTCAAATGGTGAGGAACTGTGGAAAAACCATGAAGGAAATGACATGTATGTGTTAATTTAAGGAATTTAACAGTCTCCTCATTGCAGATCTGATGTTTTCATCTGCCGCTATATTCAGGCCTCGGTGGACTTGAAATACGTCGTGACTGATTCCACAAGTCTGTGTCCTCTGCAGTCTGTTGCACTTTGCATTTGTAAAAAAAGCATAAGTAGTTTTTGGAGATATTGTGAGAGGTTTTTTATCCTAAATTTTTCCATTTTTGCATTGACACTCAGGTGTTTTGTGTAGAAAAACAGGTAGCTGTGACCCCACCTAGTTCTCATCCAGCACCATCAGGTCAAAGTTTAGTGCTATGTTAGCATGCTAATATGCTAAGTTAAAAAGCTGGACATGATAAAACATTATGCCTGCTAAGGAGTGTCGTGTTAATATTGTCATTATGAGCATGTCAGCATGCTGATGTTAGGATAGAGCTCGCGGCTCTGCTGTACCTAAGAGCAGCCTCACCAAGCTGCTGTTATAATCATAGGCTGTGAAATTCAAAGCCCTGAGTGTTAGAGGAGTGCTGCAAATTGGCACAAATCTTCTAAGGCATGTGTTTCACTGCAGGTCTGATTCCACAGCAGAAACAAAACTCTAATCTGTGAGACTGCAAGCACTTGTATATAGTGCTTCTCTACCTTAACGGACAAAGTGCTTAACAGTTTGCCTCTTGTTTATCCATTGACACACTGATGTAGACACAGATCCATATAGAGGCAGAGCTGAAGTAGAGCAAGAGAAGAAGTCTAGTCTGTCTCACGTCTTTTCCAGATTTAATGTAATTGAAGTGGGACTGAAGTAGCTTAGAATGTCATTTTTGTCAAGAACATCTGCTGTTTGCAGAGCTGTGAAGTCAGCTGCCACTTGCGCTCTGGGATGTACCCTCATCTCCTCCCAGAGCGACACGGGTAATTAGCCGGCGACAGAGCGTGGCATCTCAGCACCTGAGGAGCAAGGAAACACGTTTACCAAGTTCAGTCAGCAGAGTGCCGAAGTAATGTACATACATGCAGCCTCCTGTTCGTGTTGTCATCCGGAGATAATCTGAAGAAACCAATATTTTAGTGCTGCTTTAAAAAAAAACAAAAAAAAAAAGGAGACCTCGACAGTCCCTCACTGAATGGTTCCAGGTGCCACTCAGATGCTCTTGTTCTGCCCCGCTTTTCTGCTCTTTGGTTTGATGTGAGAGCTGTTTTGTGTAGGTTTTACCTGTGGTGTTTTTATACCAATTATGTGTAGTGAGCTTCTGTACTTGACAGAGCACATTAAAACAGCCTCCAGGTAATTTCACCTTGTTTCATGCTGCAAACATACAGACGTGCCTGAACTGTGTGATCAGTAACTCTGAGAACACAATTTAACAAATGTCAGACTCGGGGTCAAATGTGCCTGTAATCCACAAACCTAGTCTAACAGTGGAGGTAATGACAGGCAAGCACAGGCATTCTGAAATGTGAGAGGGAAAACTCGAAATCAAAGCCGTTTCTCTCGAAGCACCAGCAGAGAGTCGGACTATAATGCCGGTGTGAGGGTGTGCCTCTCCATAAGTGCTGATGCATTCTCACCCTGCAGCTTTCTGAATGATGTGCCTTTGTTTCTGTGCTTTGAGATGAAGAGCAAAAGCAGCGGTGTTAAAAATAGCTAGTGAGATAACATCATATAGAGGATAATGGCTAATTGAGGTTAACTCTGCGGTGCATTGTCATTGCAGTGAACCTCATTTCAGTTACTATAGAACATTTACAGCAGATGCCCAAGTTTGAAGTCTGGGCATTTTATAGAGAGTTTTGTTATTTCAAATCCCTTTTAAATCCCTTCTTAAAACATAATTTTATCAGGACGTGTTTCCTGATTTGAACTTTCTTTTAAACCAATTTTTTATTTGCTACCGTGTAAAAGCACTTTGTATTGTAGTTTTTGAAAAGTGTTCTAAAATAAAGATTATTATTATTATTAAGGCCCAGAGAGGTTTAAATCAATTTTCACACAGTTGTTATGTTCCTACAAACCTAAGGCTGTTGGATTTTCTGCAGTATTACCACACTGTTTGCCACAGTTTAAGAAAATGTGCTGCTGTTATGATGTTGACAGCTCAGGAGATGCTTCCAGAATAGAAAGTGAAGAGAAGAAATGGGGAGAAAACACAAATGAGCTGCTGATTTTGCACTTCAGAGCCTCTTAGTACAAAAATAAAACAAGCTTTAACATCTGGTTTTCCATAGAGCTTTGCATTATTGATGTATTTCCCCCCTAAATGCAGATATATTTCTAGTATTTTTTTATTTTTGATGAAAATAACGAGCCCTAGTTAGTCCTAGAAAATCAAAGTAAGAGTGTTCATGTGCTGTGACAGCGGCCGTTTCCACAGGTCGTTTTTAGCTGAAATTTGAGCCACATACTGCACATCAGTGGCCCATCTGTTGTATGTGATTAAAACAGCAGCAACATCCAGCTATCCTGCTGCCTCAAGTGATCGATTAGCATGCCAGACTCCGCTCCCTCTGCCAGGCCGGCGTGTCATTCTCGTCACACTGTGAGGCTGTACTCAGCTTCTCGACAGCCCTCGGTAAACTGCTTGCCCTCAGTTTCGGTCCCTCATATGTGCCTGGAGATCTGCCTCAGCCAATTCCCCTCACTGCTGGACATATGCGCCCTTCCTTGAAGAGGTAATGCAGTGTCACTATGGAGTCTCTTGCACTCATTTGTTTCTCTGGCCTTCTCCCTCTCCACAAGCCAGTGAGTTGCCATGGTGCCAGCGGCCAGCTGTGAAACAGAAAATGTCCACCATGGATGTTGTCAGGAAATGTCTGAGCAGGTCATTAAAACCCTGGTTTGTACTTCAGTAGACCTCACATTCGGACTGTGTTTATACTTTGTGCTTCAAAGGAGAATAATTTAATCTTTTTACTGAATAAAAGATGAATTGATCCTACTCGCAGTCTACATAGCCGAAGCCCGATGAAGGCTTATGCCTCAGTACCAACTTCACAACCTTTTAAAGCACATGTAGAAGCATAAAGCTGGCGGACATATTCCTTCATTATGATGAACACGAGCAGCGTGATTTATTCTAAAACATTTTTGAAGAGTGGCTTTGTGTCGTCCAGACTGGTCTTCACAGTGAAGCAAAGTGTCACCAGTAGGCAGTTACACAGCTCTGGGGGGGGATTTTTGGATGAGAATGGAGTTGAGCTGTATCAGACTTTGGCTGCACAGCCAGGACTTGAATAAATGTATTGTTGGTTTTGGTCTTTTCATGGGGTTTGTTGATGGCGATAAAAAGATAAAACAATTCCAACCTTATCCTTTAATCTTGTGTGTGTGTGTCACTGAAGGATCAAGACAGAAGAGTTGCTGGTTAATGGATGCATACTGTATGTGTTTGTGTGCTTTACAGTATGTGGATGTTACTGTTTCCACACTCCCGTCTCCTCTAAGATACTTGGATCCATTTACTCTTCCTTTAAAGTTTGCCTGGATTTGCATAAACCCAATTAAATCTCCGAACAGCTGCGGCTTCACTGGCTCTGTGCAGAGCTGAGTCACATGCAGTTCTACACTTAAGGCGTGTCCTCATTAAACTGTGAGGGCCCATAGAAGCCATAATGCAAACTGGAACTCACACAGTGAAATCCCACGTACACTGTACATACACATATATGGTGAGATCACACGCACATCATTTACACTACATTGGTACAATACTGGCAAGTGAAACGACACAGTGCACTCAGCAGAGGAAACAATTTATATACATGTACATTTATTACAAAAAATAGTGTGGTAGTGAGTGAGAGCTATGTTGCTATAACCAGAGTTCATTTCAGAGGTTTCCCATAGTGTTTGTTGGTCATTTGGTTTGCACGTCCACCTGCCCGCTACAATATTGCATATCAACAGCTATTTAAAGGCCTTACAGTCTCACGGGCTGCCGGTCTGGTTCGCTCAGGCTTGCTGTGAACTTTTGTCCTCACGTTAACCTTTTATATACAGACAGGTGACAAATGAAAGTGTCTTAGTAAAAAGCTGGGCACGTCAGTGTCTCTGAACTCCACTGGAGAGATGAATGCCATTCTTCCAAAACATAATCCCTCGAGTGTTGTGTAACACACCAGTTTAAAATCTGCCATAGGTGTTCAACTGGGTTGAGATCTGGTGACTGTGAAGGCCACAGCATATGATTCACACACTCAATTATTCAGGTTTTTCCTTTAATGTGCCACCCATGTGTATACTGGGATGTGTGTGTCTTTTGTTTTCAGACTCACTAGCTCCAATAAATGATTCCTGACTTAGCTAAGAAAGTATGAAGATAAATTTTGAGAGCAAACATGACACTTCCCATACCAAAAGTCGAGAGACATGAGCTAGGATTACTTCAAAAAACTTTTTTCTTGGTCTTATAACATTGTTGTTTTATCACCGTTTGTCTTCTGAATCCTCTAGTTCCCATTTCCCTTATGAAAAGCACTTTGTAATTTATACAAATAAAGTTTATATTTGGTGTAATTTTCCAGAGAGAAGGTCTCACTGTGGTGAGAACAGTATACAGTTTAAATTTAGAGCTCTTGTTTGCATACGCAGTGAACTGCCTGGATGTGTACCGTTGAGCGATGAAACTGCAGCTTAAAGCACCTTTGGCTGACACATTCTTGCCTTTATTATGCACTGTACTGTAGGAGAACCGGCTGCTGTGCTTTCCACAGGACTGCAGTGCTGACTAAATGTATTCACTGTCCAAAGATAGATTGATAGGTTTTTGTTTTGCAGGCATTTGTGTGTGTGTGTGTGTGTGTGTGTGGAAGATCGGTTCTGCAGGACGTTTCTGAGCCAGGTAGCAAAAGAAAGAGGGAGTGTTAAGGTCACGGTTCTGTGACTACAACTGAAAAAACTTTCATGAATTGGCCAAAGTTGGACAACATAAAAAAACTGTAATGTTCTAAACCAACAGAGTCATTTCTTCACCACTTACTGTGCTATTTTGACCATCTGTAAAGGAGGCTTTGTATATTAAACAGAAGCTTTGACTATGCTCTGTATTTATGTGATCTCCTGCTCACAGAAAAATTCATTCATTCATTATCTATATATTATACTCCCAGAGATGGAGTTTAATGTCCTCACAGGTACGGTAGTACAAGTGTAAGAACTGTATTATTGTGTTTGTTAAAATAAAATAAAATTCTGTAGTAGAGTTTGTTTTACAGCTCAAAATGTGTCACATGACCTTGGCACAGAGTCTGTTGTACAGATGTCTTCCTCTGCTGTGTTGGCACCAGGGTTTGGCTTCTAAGAAATGCTGAAGTATGACAAAGCAGTACTTTCTCTTGAAAACAGTTTTTCTAAAGCAAAGTGCTGCATTGATCCCAAGTGGAAGCAGAACACCCTGAAGCCACAGTGTACTTTGTCATAGCAGACAACAGATTTACATACTAACTGTTTTTGGTAGCAGAAGCTCTTCTAGAACTGCTCTTCACTTATTATTATGACTTATTAGAGAGCTAACAGAGTGTTTTTGTGTACAAGTTGGAACAAGTTGTGCAGGCAAATTGGGAGACTCTCGTGAGACATCGCTCGATGGCTGGTGTTCAGTTCTGTGTTGTGAGGTTGGAACTGCTGAGAGCACGGACATGCTTCACAAAGGAGCTGGCATCTTTCTCTCTTCCTGTCTTCCTCTCTCACTGTTCCTTTACCAGCCATACTGAACTCATACATCCGCCCTTTTACACACTCACACACTTGACAGAAATGAGAGAAACTGCAGAGAACAGCTCTGAAAAGTAGAACTACCCCAATAAAATCAGTTAGTCACTAAATTGGTTGTTAGCATTGTGGTGCGTTACCTTTTGTTTGGAATGATCTGTCAATACTCTAAAATGATCACAGCTCTGCTGTCACAGTAGCATCAATACTGACAACAACCAATTGATCAGTGGGAGGAAAAACAATCAGTGCTGGTTGACTACAGCTCTAATAGTAGCAGTGTAAATGTAGTGGATTAAAGACAAAGGGACCAAGTCTTTAAATGTGCAGAACTGTGTCCGAGCACTCAACACATTAGTTATATCTGAGTGTTCCTGCACTGTTTCACTTTTGCCCAAATGTTTTCTGTTTTCATTCATTCGTGATGCCTGTTCAAACCCTCTCAGGGAGTGACATCTGATTTTTCTTCTTTTTCTTTTGTGTTCCTATTTGCAAGTGTTTTATGCCCCCGTGCACGTCATTGGGTTCGATACAACAATAAGAGCATATCTGACTTCTGTGTGCAGGTTTCTGGGGGTCCCTCCAGGAAGAGGAAGCTGCCCTCTGACCGGGCCGCTGCCCTTTGACCTCATCTACACAGACTATCACGGCCTGCAGCAGATGAAGCAGCACATGGGTCTGTCACTGAGGAAGCACAAGTCAGTCCTTTTCTCTCTCACGCTTGTCAAAAACCATCATTCCTCTGTTTGTTGATGAAATACTGTTAGGGAGGATTTAATTTGGTCTGTTTACACACTGATCGGTGAACCATGTGCAGACCTCGGTCACGGTGGTGGAGGAAGTATTCAAGCTCTTTACTTAAGTAAAAGTAACAATATTAGTGTGTAAAAATACTCGGTTAAAAGTAAAAGACCTGCATTCACAATGTTACTTAAGTAAAAGTACGAAATTATTAAAATACCAAAAGTAAAAGTACTTGTTATCCAGAATAGCACAAAATAAATCTATATATCTTAAATGATCAGAATATAATTGACAAAGTATTGTGTAAATCACAGTTAATGCTGCAGCTGACAAAGGGGGGGCCTCGTTTAACTACCTTATATGTTTATTATAAGTACGGTTGGGTATTTTGTGAATTTCACACCAGGGGATCAATAAAAGCAGATCATTTTATTAGATTTTGTATAGTTAATTTGATTCTGAAAAGTCAAATAAATGTAGTGGAGTAAAGTGTAGCGAAGAAGATAAAAATATTTAAATACAGATACCTCAAAATGGTACTTAAGTACTGTACTTCAGTACTTAATTACTGTCCACCACTGCTCAATCGATTATATGCATCACATAGAGAAGGTTTTTTTAAGCTATTTGCTTAAAATGAATGTGCACACGTGCAGAGTTATGTGCACTATAATGAAATGCAGCTCATTTATTTGGAAATGCTCAAACCGACATATTCCACCACTCTGAGTGGATGCCGGCTCTGTTCTCTGGCAGTAAATACTGCTGGTAAAGTTTTTGTTCTTTTGTTCCAGCTGGGCAGCACCGGAGCTGTGTGCAAGCAAATCCTCTTTCTTTATCCAAACAAAGGAAAACTATGCAAACAGATTTTAATGCAAATTACTGTACCAACTCAGGGAGGAAAATATATTTCTTAACAGTAAAAGCATAAAAGAAAACAAATCTTCCAGTTGTGGCAGTGTGAAAATAATGATGATCGTTCAGGGTGTGAAACAGTTTTTAGATTAAGTTGCACTGCAGTTTGATTTCACCCTGTGTTTTACTGTGAATGTCTGAGAGAGAAGGGTACCATGGTCATTAAATAACCCAGCAGCAGATGCACATGTTTGAATCCTCTAAAACATGGCCCTGGCAGGGCAGGGGCAACAGCCTCCGCTGAGTCCCATTAGCATCAGTCCAAGGTCAGCAGATCGACCAACACTCCTCAGCTGTCAAATAATGACAGAGCAATACTTTAATTTCCTCCTCAGCCCCGACACTGATGAGAGATACAGGGCGCTGATAAATCTTCAAAGACTAGATTTGATCAGTTCATTTATTTTTACTTTCCAGCATGAATATTGACAGCAAGGAAAGTGCTGATCCAAGAAGACATCAGCACACCATACTTTAAGATGTTTTAGTATTGATGCAGTCGGAGCATCGTAATCTGTTTTCTGTTGAAATGTTGCCGTAACATTATCAGAGAGAATATTAAGCGTGTTGCAGTCAGTCCAAAGAGATCTAACACAGTTTAGCAGAGTTTCCCTTAAAATGTGATTGATCCACATGTTTGACTCAGATCCAGCTCTGACCAGTCTGGGTGGTGCTGTGCGCTGTGCTGGTTGTGAAACAGGGCTGTGATTTAAGCCACAGATGTCTCACCTTGATGTGCCTGCAAGTTCTGCTGATTGGGGGGGTTCTGTTAGGGGACAAGGATTTCCATCATCGCCAACAGCTTTACAAACCAGTACCCTGACAGGAAGACACTGTAGTGCTGAGATGAGGCCTCGTAACTTTTACGTGGCTGTTATTCATGTTGGTTTACTCTGACATGAAGGACATGATGTGATTGTCTCATTTTCTAAGCCTATTATCCAGACGTAATCCATCAATGCCAGTATGCGGTCTCCAGATGAAATTCATCTGGCTGTTAACTTTTCTGTTGTTTGTCGCACCATTCGAGGAAACTTTATTTGAAGGCAAGAGACAAACTTCTTCTAATTTTAGCTTGTGTTTTTTTTATTTTGTCTCAGGTGTCACATCCGAGTGATAGACACCTTCGGCACTGAGCCCGCTTACAACCACGAGGAGTACGCCACTCTGCACGGCTATAGGACCAACTGGGGCTATTGGAACCTCCACAGCCAGCAGTACATGACCATGTTCCGTACGTGGACGTTGATTATTTTTTTCCTTGTTCTCTCTCTGATGCTGTACATCTGTTTATGGACGAAGGTTGGATTAAACATCTGCATAAATTCTTAGTCAAAATTATGAAGTGTTTTGTTGTGAGGTGTGTGTGTATGGTCGTGCTTATGCAGCTGAGAGTGTGAGCAGATTGTGTGAGCTTAGAACGTCCTCAGGCCAAGGCTTCAGGGCACAGACACGCCAGAGAACTTGTTCAGAACAGCTGTGTCTGCACAGATGCGACAAGTCGTCTGCTGTGGCAAAGCACCACCAGCCATACACGCAACAGCACATGCACAGAGATGGACACAAGTGCACACAGATGCACAAACTGACGGCAGATGAGATTTCATCTGTTTGTAGTACCCTCCAATTAATTCAGCGACAGTGGGCAGCCCCCACTGTTTCCAAAACACTTACTGTGAGCACAAAGCACAGTGCTGTCAGCTTTCATCTCAGGTTGGGATGAAAACAACATTTCTTTCTGCTTTGTGAGTGCTACCGTTCGTAGTGTTTTGTGTCCTGAAATCTGCGGCACATTAACGCTGCAAGCTGTGATTCTGTGTTTGTTGAAACTACAGTAAAGATGATGGAACAGAGTCACTTCTGTAAAGCTGTTTCATCTTACTGTTGATGTGCAGTTAAAATTTAACCGCTCAGTTGATGTGGAGGCAAATGCACCGAACAGTTTATTGAACTGATGAACTGGCAGAATAACCCCATCAAACTTCCTCAACCCCAGTAAATGCACATCACTCTGCCATACAAATGGATGGAATAATAAGTGGTTTAAAAAAAACTTTTCAGCTCTACAGAATTCCCACAGCGCTTCTTTTTTTCTGTGTTCTCTGTGTGCACAGCGGACTGGAACTCACAGCAGATCCTTTAGTTGAATCAAAATTTTGAGACATGAAACTGTAACTTGTAACATTGTTTTGCCAATCGCTGTGTTTGTCTTTGGTAGCCCACACCCCAGACAACTCTTTTATGGGTTTTGTGGCAGAGGAACTGAATGAGACTGAGAGACTGAACATTCGGCGAAACAAGGTTAACAATATGGCTGTCGTGTACGGCAAAGAGGCCAGCATGTGGAAGGTCAGTATCCCTCAAGAACCCCTGTAAAACCTTCAGTAAACTGAATATATTTTTTGTGGCATGTTTCTGATCTGTGAGAGGAGGAAATGACTTGACCCTGAGTGGGTTCATAACACGTTGGTGCTAGGTTGTCTGAGGAAGCTGCAGCTGTTTATGTAATGTATATAGTTGCTGTGAAAGCAAAGCAAGGTTGTGAGAACTTTTGAATATCGCTTAACTGTGAAACACCCACTACATGTTCCATTTCCTGCAAACAGCTTTGTCCTCCAGGAATCTGGCCTGAAGTGTGATGGTGGAGGAACAGTTGTTTTTGTTTAGTATAGATTTTCCCTCCAAGCTACTGGCAAGGTTTCTCGTTCTTACTGTAACTTTGAAGTATGCTGCAGCCTCCCCCAAGGTTTGCTTCGCTCGAATCCGACTGCAGCTTTGTTTCTACTCTGCCATAGCGTTCCCTGTTTCTCACAGCAACTTGAGCTGCAGTGTAACATTTGTTAGACAGAAAGATTGCCATGTAAAAGCCAGGAGTGTCAGGGTCTCTCCAGACAATGAATTACTCCCTCGTCAAGAGCAGCCTTACCTTTGAGATTCACATGTGAGACTTTGGGCTTGGAAAGGTCTTGTGAGAGGAAAAGGACTAACTACTTTCATATTCTCTGTATTCCTCTACATCTGCCTCTCACTACTCACTTCCCTCCTCTTCATACTTCTGCTCTTATCCTGTACTGTTCTGTATTCAACATCCCATGATGCATCATTGATGGGTCCATGCACAGCTTCAAGTAAGTACACCTGCTTTTCACTGGCATTACCGGTTCCCCAAAGGCCAAAACCTTTTCCTAATCTTTTAGATGTCTAAAATGTATGTTATCTGAGCATGAATTTAAATATGAGCCTAACTTTTGAATGTCAGTTTAGAAAATAGTTATTTGAAAATATATACTGTAGTTACAAACTTGTTTCCAATGATTTCACATGTGAGCTGACATCTAGATCTAGATCTGTTACCAAAATATACCCCTGTGTGATGTAGTGGAACATCCTGTGAAATTCAAATAGGTTCACAAGGCTGTTTGATTTAAAAAAAGATAAGCATAAACTTTATTGCCAATTATTTCAGGAACACAAGGAATTTGATTCCAGCTCAATGCCCCCAGTGTGCACAACATAACAAAATAAATACACAAGATATACAAGTTAAAAGAGCAGCATAGACTATCTGTTCATCATTGTAATAGCTAGTGGAAGAAACTGTCTCTGTGCCTGGTTGTCTTGGTGCACAGTGACCTGTAACGCCGTCCAGAGGGGAGGAGTTCAAAGAGTTTGTATCCAGGGTGTGAGTGGTCTGCAGAAATCCTCTCTGCCCTCCTTTTGACCTGTGAGGTATAAAGGTCCTCCATGGAGTGTACCTTGAAGACATAATATTAATAAACAATTAGATTAGATTCAACTTTATTGGCATTGCCAATGTACAAGTACAAGTTTAGCATCTAACCAGAAGTGCAGTAACAGCAGTGCAGAGTGCGCAGTATCTACAGTCTGTGCAATCAGAACTAATTTACCAATGGATATGTACAACTGATATTTTCAGTAAGATGTGTAGGGTAATGTACAGTAAACAGCAGACTATGGATTTAAATCACAAGTTATGGATAAGGTACATTAAGCTTATAGAACACTAGTGCAATGGGATGAAATGGAATGGAATGTGATGAAATAGTGCAAAGATAAATATACAGTATCTGCATATGTACAGTACAGTGTGAAAATGAATAAGTTACAGGTCACAGAAGTGTATTGCATTAGTCCCAGGAAGAGAGATGAGAAGGGGTGAGGTGTGTGTAGTGGTATAGAGGAAGGCAGTGGGGGGGTCAATGGGGGACAGAGTTCAGTAAGGAGACAGCTGTGGGGAAGAAGATGCTCCCGAGTCTGCTGGTTTTGGTCCGGAGGCTCCTGAAGTGCCTCCCAGAGGGCAGGAGGTCAAACATTGATACCTTGAAGACATAGTATTAATAAATAATTCACAACATCCCCCCAGAAACATTTCCTGAGATAAACCAGCTCAGCTTTATATCAGTAAAATGATTCACGCCACGAGCCTCCATGGGGCAAACAGGAAATTTACACTGATGAAGTCTTTTGTAATTTCACAGGTGCCGAATAGTTGTGTTACCAAAATGATGATGTTAGCGCTAACAAGAGCAGACTCAGCCCATTAAATCAACATTTAACTAGTTAATATACAGCCGGTGCTGCAGGAGAACTGATTAACACTGTGAGTTAAATATGTAACCTGGGTAAAATATTATGCATCATAGTTAAACTTCCTCAGAAAATGTATTTGCTTTGGAATGATAATTACTGTAAATATGTTGATTTCATATGATGAATAGGGTTAAAAGAGTTATAGTGATTTATTTCATTTTATTTTGAAGGTTCAAAGTGTTGTGTTGTGTGTAAAATATTGCTGTTGGTCACCTATTGGTAGAGGGAGTGACACCCAGTAACATTTTAAAAAGACAACAAGAACCTGCTGTTTGTGCTGTGAATGATACAAAAGATCAATGTTAATGTGCTCATTTAATAAAAACAGACTAGCTTCGAACTATATCGTCGTGGCAAACACTGATTCAAAGATGGCCTCTGTTTGTTTGGATTAGTGTTGTCAGCTATTATAAGATGTGAGTTGTCAAAGTAACATAAGACCAGTGCTATTAAGATGGCAAAGAATCTGACCAAACCTCAGGTCAAAACATCATTAAACTAAAAAAATACTAATACAAAAGAAGATGAGCAGTGTTTACAAATAAATTGCCTCTAAATGTCTTAAGTCATTTTCTCCTGTATGTGTCAAAAGGGCAAGGAAGATTTCCTGGCCATTCTGCATCGCTACATGGAGATCCATGGGACGGTGTACTATGAGACACAGCGCCCCCCAGAGGTGCCTGCCTTTGTCAAAAACCACGGTCTGCTACCCCAGCAGGAGCTGCAACAGCTTCTAAGAAAGGCCAAGGTGAGAGTATTAGCGAGGCTTTCACAAGCTTAGCAAATGCTCAGGTGTTTGCAGACACACTTTCTGGTTTATATTCAAATGATTTGGAGAAGTTCTGATGTTCACCAGGATATGAGCAACTCAGTGTGTAGACTCATGATCCGATCTCATTCTCATATTCCTGTCAAGCTTTTCATTGGATTTGGCTTTCCGTACGAAGGTCCCGCCCCTCTGGAGGCCATAGCCAATGGCTGCATTTTTCTACAACCCAAGTTTAATCCACCTCGCAGCTCCCTCAATCATGAATTCTTCAGAGGGAAGCCCACCTCCAGGGAGGTATACACACTTCATCGTTTCTGTGAAAATGAGCAGCACTTTAAATAGTGTAATGTGATGGATAACAACACTGAGTCATTTAATTCCATCAGTCAGTCCACATGTAAACACATTCACAGCAATCAGCCTATTCATTTATAAACAGTACAAATGAAATGCATTGAATACATAACACTATCTCATCTTGACTTGATTTGCTGTTAGGGCTTTTATTTTGATTGTTAATGTATCCCCCTTCCTCAGGTGTCCTCTCAGCATCCCTATGCGGAGCAGTACATCGGCAGGCCGCACGTCATCACCATCGACTTCAATAACTCTGAAGAGTTTGAGGCAACCATCAGAGAGATCATGGAGATCAATGTGTGTTCACTTTTTGCTGTTCCAAATTCAGTTCTTTTGATTCAACAAAATAATAGTCTTCTATTATTGTAGTCTAGCACAGTACACTCTACAGTGCTGCATAATAGAGTCGGTGAGAACATAATATCCTCTCACACACTTCACATCCTGGTTTGTCCTACTTTTGAAGCCCTCGGCCTTTAATAGAGCTTTCCATCATGGTATCCGATATTGCAGCAAACTGCTTAGCTGGCTCCCTCCCTGCTCTACACACGACTAATTGCATGAGGTATCAAATGGCTCAGTAGGTAAACTGCGCCCACACTTGGGTTTACATGGCAGCTTTCCAGAGGCCAGCCCCACAAGCAAGCACTGTCCACAGCAGATCATTTTAATCAATCACGCTGTGCTCTGTTTGTTACCAAAACAACACAGAGCCACTGCTGAGCCTATCAAAGTGCTAAAATGCATGTGTGCCTTCTGCTTGCCAGGTGTGTTAAATAGACCGTGTGTTGCCTGCTGACAGTGGCAAAATGGAGTACGAGTGGTGCCACTGGTAAAGGCTTCAAATTTAGATTCCTGGGGAACTAAATACAGTCCCAGTCACACTGTGCTGACTGCACAGTTTCAGGTTACACTTTGGTTTTTGTCTGCATCAAACAAACAAGATAGCACATGTTAGTGAGTTTTTGAGGTGCTAGCAGGCAGAGTTTGATGCCATTAGACAGAACGAGGGTAGCTGCTTCCTCCTCCTTCCAATCTTTGTGCTAAGCTAAGCCAACCAGCTGCAGGTAGAAGCTTCATACAGTCTGTAGAAATCAAATCAAATGAAAACTGATAGTTTTATCTGTCCACGAGCTCAAATGCTGCCTCACTGCTGTCTGAAACAGTCATCAGATTTTAATAGCACCATTGCAACAGTGGTTGATAAAAAAGCACTAAAACATACTGTAAGGGCACTTTAGGAAATGAGCAGTGCACATAGGCACCTGTGAAACACTCAGATATATAGTCTGGTATCAAGTGACTTCTCATTAGTACATCCATGATCTTTCAGGGGGAAAGAAATCACTCCAGTGGTCCTTCTGGTTATAGTGAAAGGCCGTATCCTGAGATTTACTTTCTCTCACACTCAACTGAAATGTTTACACTCATGCATTTCCATCAACGTGCATACCACTAAAAATATTTTGGTCTCACAAATATGCAGTATCCATATGCATGATTTCAAATCCCTGTCGATTGTGATTGTGTGTCTGGTTCACATATAACTGTAAAAATGTTTCACAGGTGAATGTGTGAGTATTTCATATGTATGTGCACAAATTATTTGTGTGAGTGTTTTACATACTGTACAACTGTAGGAATGTTTCACAGGATCCTGTTTTTCTAGATATTCTGCAGGGGATTCTGTGATGTATGAGTTTCATTTGCATATGTGTTTCATATCTGTGTGTGTATGTGCAAGTATTGTATTTCAAAAGGAGTGCATGTGCTGAACTGCTTTTTTATTTCCTAAATGGCCCCAAACTAAAATGTACATGACTGTCCCCAGCTTATTTGCCAGCTGGGCTGTGTGCCTTTTTCTGAACGTGGTTGCTCCCAGGGTAACTCGCCTAATGAACGTTGATGAAGTTCCATTCTGTCTTCAATGACGGCATGAAATAATGAATGTTGTTCACATATTTCTGTGGCCAAGCCATGCACAGTTATTTTCAAAATGTTTTCCTCTGCTGAATCCAAATCACCCTCTATGAGGATTTTTTTTTCTCTCTCCCTTGCTCTCAGATTCGATTATATAAAGATGGCCAAAAGGCAAACCGCATTGTGGCATAGATGATGAAGTGCCAGATACATTTCATTAAGCTCCGATGAAATAAAGTAATAAGGGTGCTAAAATGAACACAACTCCAAAAGGAACCATTTATCAGTTGAAAAGGCTGAATGCTTCAGTGGCCTGAAAGTAAACAATGAAATCATACGTCACAGGATTCTGCAGAATGTGTCCTATCTGATGTACACTCACTGGCCACTTTATTAGGTACACCTGTATAATTGTATGCAATTCAGTGCAATGCTTCCGCCTTAACGTGTGTTTATGAAGCACAGCTTTAAAAAATGCCATAATATCAACCAGCATGTTTCTACACCAACAGGCAAAGTGTTTTGTCACTGCTTTGTTCTCACGTTACTCACTAGGGTGTTAGCCTACAACACTGAAACGATCGATTTTGTGAATGTTAATCAAGTCTGCCATCAAAAGGCAGACGGTGATTGACAGGCTGTAACAGCAGCACTGATAACTGCACCCAGAGCAGCACCGTCCTCTTGGTGCTGACTGACCTGTGGTCTGCCGTCAGTTTAATTCATTGTTTGACGTATTGATATAGTCATCACTAAAAATAATAAAATCAATTTTCAGATCTGTCACCTGTGATGTATTAGGTCATTGATTTTAATGTGAGACTTGTGGCATGATATAAGCCTTTGACAATTACGCTAATGAATGTGTCAGCTTTGATTAACTATCAGATGCTCAGTTCCTGTAATTACAATGGCTTCGTTCTGTGGACACACACACACACACAGTCTCTTCCCCACTGTTTCTTCACTTGTATGCACATCTGTGTTTGCAGGTGGAGCCATTTCTGCCTTATGAGTACACCTGTGAGGGGATGCTTGAAAGAGTTCATGCCTACATTCAGAACCAGGTGGGTCTCTAAATCAATTCAGATTGGTGGGCATGCTGGTTAAGGTTGTGATGGTATAATAGAAATATTTGTTGGTGCGTATGTTGCCTCTCAGCAGGTTAGCTTTGGGACACAGTGTGAATAGCTCAATGTGTGTGAAATGCATGCTCAAAGCACAGCAGCAATTGTTCCACTACTTGTGTCTGGATCAACTGCTGTGCCGGTTTTCAGAGGAATCGTTTGTTATATTGAGAGTCAAATGAGAACTTAATTTTTTTTATTTTGTGTAGTTTATTTTACTTTCTATTTCTAAAAATAATTTCATTGTTGTTTAAATTGTCTGCTATTTTTATTTTGTAAAGCTCTAAAAAGACTGATGCCGCTCTGCGTGGGCTAAATATGAATCTCCAGCTAACCTTAAAGCTAGCTATGCTATAGCTAAAAGTTTCATTGTCCTGTCTTAATCAAATCTGCATTTAGGCAAGTGTATAAGGAAAAACTCAGAAACAATGTTTAAACATCTGGAGGTTTTACTAACTAGAGTAACAGACCTTAGATCCTGGGGTTGCAGGTTCGAATCCAGCTTGGTGCATAATGATAAGATCGATACCAGGGATGTTTATTAAACTTACAGTTGCAAATGCAGTTCCACTTGTGAGATAAACATTTGTAGGACATTATAGCTTGATAATATATGGTATAATTAATTACTTATTCAAGTCTCAATGAACAGTTGAAATATACTTTAGCTTCTGCATTCCTTAGCCAGTTCTTTCTCCCAGCAGCAGTGGCGGCAGTAGCTGGCAGCCATCACACCTGATTTTTCTTCAGGAAATGTACATTCTAGTTGAATTTATTTCTCATTTTCACAGTTTTATGGTTGATAAAGTGACTATTTCTCAGTAATTTAGTTACTGCGACAGGATAGAAAACAGTCCAGTGCATAAGCCCCAATCTGCGTTTTTGTACGACTTAAACAAGATATAATGTGTTAATCTATTGCTTAAACCCTTGTCAGTTTTTGTGTTGACAGGAGAAAGGGCGTTAAATCGCTCCTTTACGAAGCCTGAAGAAATGATTTGGTGAAGTTTGCTGCTGCATGTTGCATTTCTGCTCCTGAGCCAATTCATTTTATTTTCTCAAGTGTTCCAGAAGCATTTTTAGTCATTTATCATGTGTCCATCTCCTGGAACAGGTACACACAATCCAAACATACAACTCAGAGACATCAAGTAAAAGATCAGACAACTCACCTTTATTCAAACGGTAATGCAGGCAAAGCAGGTAAGGGGGAAATGGTGGGTGGTGATTGAAAGCCAGCAGTTTGGCCAGCAGTTCCTGGTTCCCACTTGTCACTATCTCTGATATGGATGAAATTATAATCATGTCTTTAGTGCGACTTAGTAAAGATGGTGGTACACCCTTGTAAAAGCAGAAGAAATGAGTGGAAGGTGGTTCCTGCTCTGGGCAGTGATGTCGTTCAGGAAGTTGATGCAAGGGTGGAGAGACGTGTCATTTTCCCTAAAGAGGAAACCATTCCTGGCAGAGGGGAGGATGCCAGCTGCCAGAGAGATTCAGGGGCGGGCAGGGAGCACAGACAACCCTGGGTGGAGTGGTCACCGAGAGGTTGTCATACATTAGAACGGTGACTAACTTTTTTCAATCTGTTCTAGAGAACAGTGATAACAGAAAAATATAATGCTCATACATAAAAATGACCTCCTTATGCAACCTTTTACATATTGTGCCTTCTCCTGTAATCCGGGGTGTGTACTTGTACAGAGGTCCTAGTTCCAAAAACAACAGAAAGCAAACAAAAAAATCCCTTAAACAACAACAAGAACAAACCCAAAGCCACATCAGATTGCTGCCATCTTGTCGTGCTGTCACGGTTGGTATAGTATCTAGCAGGTTAAGGAATTGTGTTAGCCTCTGCTCTGCTCTGACACAATCTCACCCCCGCTGTCAGAAACGCACACACACCCTCAACGTGCTGTGACTGACTGAGCCTGTGACTGGCCGCCTGGCGCCTACAAGGTCAGACTCCCAATCAGACTCTCCTCCCTCTCTGTTCTTTCACTTTTTAACCTTCTCTTTCCACATTTCATAATTTTCCAGTTTTATTGAAAGTCACTCACATTTCTCAGCTTCGTTTTTCTGCTTGTCCGAATGTTGTTTGTTTTACATTATCGCAATGACTGTGGAGAAAAGATTAAAGCATAACTGACACTGAAGTTGCATTTAATTTGTTAGCGTTGCAGGTGGAGTTTGTTTCTTCATTTCCAGTCAGTCTGTCTGTTTCAAACATGCACAGTTAGAAATAGTTTGCTTTGTTGCTAACCCCAGGGAGTTGTGATGTTACTTTTTTTTTATTACAGGGGGGGGGGGTTTCATGCACTGGCCTGCACATTCCTCTCTAATTAAACACTTCATGAATATGTAACATGGTTAAACAGAATTCTTTCCAACCTGTGTGAATCCATTATCTGCATTAGTTGACCTGTTGACCATTAAGTCTACAAACATACTGTAAGGTTAATTTTCAAATGGCCTTAATTGTCTCCAGGTGTTTGGTTAATCTCTACCTGTAAGATTAGATTTAAGACTTTACTTTTTTGATAAAGCTTATAGTTAGGGCTGGGTCAGGTGACTCTGAGCCTTCCCTTAGTTATGCTGCTATAGGCCTAGGCTGCTGGGGGGCCCCATGATGCTCTGAG